ACCTGCATCTTCAGATCCTCAACTTCACATCATAATCTTTTATTTGCATTAACCTGCTCTCTATATTCCTTTTCTATCTCATGCATAAATTTCTCAAAAGTTTGTCTATTATAATCGAGCAGGTGCTGAGATAGTACTTTAAGCTCATTTATAACATGGTGATTATTCTCTTCTTCATGATCATGCTTTAGCGCCTGATTTGAAGAATCCCTCTGGCTTGGCCAGTTTGGGACCCATTATCTGTAATGTATATAATTGATATTTCTTTGAAAGATAAAGATGTTTAACACTCTGGCCAACTTTGGGTTTGTCTCTGACACATTAATCTTTTCAAGTTCAAAGTCATATGATTCTGATCGTTACCAATGGTAATGGTTTATTGCTAAGAAAAAATTCATGTGACATCCTGACCAATGGTCAGCAACTTTGCTAAAAAAAAAAATTAACTTCATCTATGATTAAGGGGCCTCATATTTATACATTATGCAAGAAAATTGGAATTTCATGAGAATCACCCTCAATCAAAGATTTCAGGGTGGAATCATATACATGATTGTCTAACTGATTTGATGGATGTATTTGTCGGGGAGTAAATTACCTCATACTAAATGTATTGCATGAACTGGATAATAATCACATAATTTTCATCACGAAATAGTGACAACTGGCAAAAAAAATACATCATGAATCCCATAGCTAATGCCATGATAATATCACGTTAAAAGCTTTATTTTATTAATAAATTTACGCGTCGATACAGTGATACTTATGGGAAATCTGTTAGAAATATTAACTCTAGTCGATGAATAAAAAATGTTACAAATTATAATGCTAATAATTTTTGCCAATAAACAATTTCAATCAAAATACAATATGTTAAAAATCACACGAGTGCGTGGAAAAAAAATCACAGCGATCATTTCATCAATTTACTTTTACCTGTAAAAAACATTACCATGATCTAGGATGCATGATTGCATAAATTGTAATACACCAAGGTAAATAATCTAAGATCCACGTACTGCACTATAGATACATACATGCTTAAAATCAAACCCAATTCTTTATTAATGATGATAATAATGCATAGCGAAGTAAAAATTAGGTTGCAATTAAAATAGATATACTCAATGATTCTGTCCGAAATCAAATAAATGAATAACATCTCACATTAGCGATGTTATTTTAAGAACAAATCTTGTTATTAACCTTTTTTTTTGGGGGCGATCGGTGTTCCTGCTGTCTGGCAGGAATTACCACTCTTCCGGGTGCAAATTTTTCTTTTTCTGCTCTGTTCTTTATACTTTTAAACCGCGAAATAGTAAAGGATAATAATTTCTGCAAAAACAGGACAAGTGAGTGTAAAATCATACTTTATAGATTGTTTGTATGATACTAACCTTTACTTGAAGCATTACTCGTGAAATTTTAAGAATAGATTCGAGTTCTTCATATTTGGTTGGGATATAAAGATCCGCTAAATTGGCAGATACGTAAAATCCACCTCCAATGTAGACAATCAGCATAGCACGTAAGAAAAAATATGACGACAAAATCCGGGCATCAAAAGTTTGGTGCTAGCATGAAGAACTGGCATTGATAACATTCCACCGCTCTCATCAGATATTGACTCTATTAAATTTCGATGCATATCTCTTAAGGTCTTTTGTACCTTAAGGGTATTCGAAAGAACCTTTGACGTATCTTCACATTTGGAACCAGTTCTCTCACAGAGGGAAAACTCACGACCCCAGTACAATTCTTTCCCTAAATCATGTTTCTGAAAATTGATGTTAGCAAACACACTAATGATTGACATTGAAAACCTTTAAGAATGTTCCATACTGTAAACATCCAGTCGAGATGATATCCCTCTGTGTTACTTGGTGCATCTATAGCTACTGCTCGACGATTCCTGGAAGCCCTCGATACTACTTCCCCACTAGGAAAATTGTAAGCATTGTTACTGATAATAACAAATAATATTAAAAAAGATAAACTTACAAATGACTATCTAATATAGTATCGAAACAAGAAAAAATGTGTCTCTTTATAAACATATCAATGTCTCGTTCGGAATTTTGTCGCTGGGGGATTCCTTTTGCGATCATTTCGCATCTGATTGAAATTATATGATGTAAAACTCATTAAACTGCATGACTGTATATTTAATACTAAACTATTGAATGAACTTACGTGAATCTAATTAAATCGAAAATGAATGCAACATCAGCATTCGTGTGATCTTTGGTAGATAATTGGATTTCTTCATGAAAGTTTTTATTATCATTTTCAAAAGTACTTTTATCCTCAAAGAGATCATCATCAGATTCTTCGGGTGGGTTTCCTTTAATGTTATTTAATATTTTTTGCAATTCAAGGATTGCGCCATGTGTACCCTTGGGCCTTACAATTTCACCAATGATGCGAAGTTGATTGCCATCAAGCTGGAAAACAAAAAATTAAAAAGATTTCAAATAAAAAATTAAAAATACTTTAATCTTCATAACATACTTTTGCTAAAGAATGGAGATATCTCTCTGCTGAGCTATTTTATCTAGCCAATTTGGTTTTGGTGCACTAAATTCCCACTCAATCGGAGGTTCTTCAGTCTACGAATACATCCAAAAGTTCGTGGGTCAATTTGAATAACAAGTTTTCGCGCTAAAAGTTAAATAAGTACCTCGATTTCAAGTATTCGTAGCTCGTCTTGTTCACGTTGATAAGACTCTAAACATGCTCCTGTTGTACTTTCACACGATAAATCCTAGTAATAAAGATGAGTTAGAAAAAAGTGGTGTCAATAAAACAATATACTAAATTCATGCACCTCATGCCGACTACGTTTTTCATTTGACGGGCCTGCTTTGTTGTCATCGTTGTCATCATGTGATCTTTTTTTTATAATTGTCGTTCCTTGTAACAGCTCCGATAATTTTTGCGACGAATATATTACTTTTTGAGAAGAGTATATTTTTTCTTCTATGTGCTGGACCCTCTCGGTGAGTTGCAGATCACAGTAACGCTCGTAGAAATTATGGTACCATTCTTTACAACGCTCTAGGATTGACTCTCCTTCAAAAGTACTAAAATTTGCTAATTCTTTGCAAAACGAAATTACACTGACGGGAATTTTTTTATGATTAGTTTTTGAGATAATGTTGAGAGAAGCAAACCAATCTTCGTAAACGGTGGTCCAGCTTGGAATTATATCTTCGGTCTCCAAACGATAATTTAGGTAATGCTTAAGCCTCCAGTCTTGGGCACCTACTTTTTTAAAATAATCGTTAACATCTAAATAATCAGGTGCCAAAAAATTTACGTGGACATTCGATCTTAATGTTGCAGACATATTGTTCTTGTAATAAAGTATACAAAGTATACGTAGTTTTAAGTACCTAACACTATTAATCGATTCGCGATTCTATATCACATGATCAGTAATACCCTGCGCATACATACAAATTTTTTTTTTTAAAATCCTAGAATTAAAAGTTGCGCAATGCGTAAGTTAGAATCACAAACAATTTGCGGAAATCAAAGTTAACTTGCGTTCCGCAAATTCCGCAAATAGATTTCATACACTGAGTGTAACTATGCTGAAGTTTCCCATGTCGGCCAGTCTCTGGCGGTGAGAACTTCCCTTGTGTCTTTGGATACTTAGGAGAAGCCATAGCTTCGTGTCGGCCAGTCTCTGGCGGTGAAGTTATGAGTTACTTGTAGCTAACAACTGTTCGCGTCGGCCAGTCTCTGGCGGTGACAGTTGATTTATTGATTTTGCTGAAGTTTTCCATGTCGGCCAGTCTCTGGCGGTGAGAACTTCCCTTGTGTCTTTTGATACTTAGGAGAAGCCATAGCTTCGTGTCGGCCAGTCTCTGGCGATGAAGTTATGAATCAGTGAATATCCAAGTTATTTCTTGGTAGTTACAGCCCTTATCAGTCAAATCGGATAATAACACACCACATGGTTAAAATTTATAAATGCGAAGTGAGACTTTATTATTAAGAAAAAAGAGAGAAATAAGTGATGCTATCAAAGAGGGAGGGAGTACGCGGATCCTAAGCCATTTAATGCGAGTCCCAGCATCAAGTTATTTCTTTG